GAAGGAAGGAAGGAAGGGAGGAAGGAAGGGAGGAAAGGAGGAAGGAAGGAAGGAAGGAAGGAAAGTCCTGATGGATAACAGAAAGTAAAGAGAAAAAAAACCTCAGAATGAATAATAAACAGGAACTATTGTCCTGTGACAATGATGGCGAACCTTTTGAGCTCCAAGTGTCAGCATTTTGAAAAACCCTAACTTAACTCTGGTGCCATGTCACATATAGAAATTTTTTGATATTTGCAACCATAGTAAAACAAAGACTTATATTTTTGATATTTATTTTATATATTTAAATGCCATTTAACAAAGAAAAATCAACCAAAAAAATGAGTTCGCGTGTCATAGGTTCGCCATCACTGTCCTATGACATAAGGAACTTCAGATAGAGGATTAATGTATAAGAATGAAAACAATTCAGAATTGTACTACAACAAAGAGAACATTTAGAACCCCACTGTTGGCACTGAGACCTTGGATAACAGAGAATGTGTAATAAGTATGACTCAGGACCCCACCCAGAGACCCAGTGGTTAACTGTAGTACATTTGATTCCAGGTCAGCTACCAGGGAGAGTCAAGGATGCTCAATCCCACTCAGTGGAGGAATTGAATTGCCTAAATTCTTTCTTGATTAATCTGGGGGTCAGGGTGGGAATGATCCAGAGAGGAGTGGACCAAGTGATACAGCTAAGGGGAAGCTAAGAAAGCACAACACAGAGAAAGTTACACAGGGACAGATTCATATCAGGTTTTGGCTCTTGAAAATGATTCTTACGGCAGAATTTTTACAAGCGGGAGTCTATCCAAATGGCGACTGAGTAATGCTCTGGCAAAAAAAAGTCATCTGATAAATAGCTCAAGAAAGGATATTTGAACTTGAAAGGCAAAGCTTTTAGAAGTCACATGATAGCCATTTTCAAAGAAAAAGTTGCAGAATATAGGCCCATCCATAGATTTTCTTTTTCCTCTGAAATTCCAGAAGAATGGGACTAAATGATGCAAATCCTAGGGAGGCAGATGTTGTGTCCAATTAAGAAAGAGCACACAAATGATCAGACATGGCTATAGGTGGGATGGGGAAAAACTGGTGAACTTTCAGCTCTTCCATATTTAATTAGCGGGTGTGTGAACATAGATACAAAACACTTCAATGAGAAGTCAGGTTAAATGTTCTATCAAATCCAGCTCTCCTCTAAGATTCTCAGTTTCCACGACATACATGAAATACTACATGTAGTTAAGATGATGGGGATTATGAATAAAGAAATTGTGGTAGAAGGAGTTTCACAGAGTAAGTAATATTTCACTCAAGCCTTAAAGCACATGTATATTTGGAAAGCAAGAGAAAAGCAGTGAGTGCATTCCAAAGGTGGGGAACCATGCAAAAATGCAAAAGAAGAGAAGCAGAACCGCTTCACGCATCCTGCGCAGATAGACCTGGCTGGACTAGAGTGTTTTTGTTACGAAGCTGTGTTTCAGAAAGTTAAACTATTAGGCATGAGCCCAATAGGAGAATACCTTCAAAGCAGCCGAAATAAACTAACTAACAAATGGGGGGTGGGGGTGTTAATTGCTGGTTCAAAAGAATAAACTAGTCAGATCTGAGTTCAAATTCCAACCCTATCACTTGTTAGCTGTCAGACCTCTCAAAGCCCTAATCCCCTCATCTGTCAAATAGAGACGATGAAGATAATTATCCGCCTCATAGAGTTGTGAGGATTCAATGAGCTACTAAATGTAAAGCCTGGTACCTAGTACGTAATAAATGATCATTATAATTATTTTTATGAGAGAGGGAGCGGTCATGAAGAAAGGGAGAGAGAGAGACAGAGAGAGAGAGAGAGAGAGAGAGAGAGAGAGAGAGAGAGAGACTCTCCAAATGCCCAAGCACAATATAAATATTAAAACAATGATTGATTTGGCCCTGAAACTTAATCTATTATGAACATATCTTCTTAATCTCTGTCCTTGTGAACTGCTTTAGAACTTTGTAAGATGCTGGAAAAAAATAGAAATGTTCTCAGATTTTTTTTTTATTGCATGGTGACAGAAAATCTGCAAAATGGATTTTTCAACCTTTAAGGAACCCACCTGTGAAAATTAAGTAAGCACAGAGGAACTAAGTCTAACTCCCCAAATGACCTACCTCTTTCTGAAAACTAATCAGGTTTTTCTGGAATGACTTTGCTTTTTCATCTGTTCCCCTCAAAAGCTCTACATTTTTATGGAGAGTCTCATTCAGGGCTTGTTCATACTGAAAATTAAAGAATATTGTTAAAATTGTTCATGCCAGAAGGTATTATTTTTATTTTTCAGAATTTTCCAAAATTATCAAGTATCATATGTGCACGTACCTCAGATCTGAAGGTAACTCCTAAGATACCTGCCGCCACCTGCAGGAGCAGGATCAAAAGCAAGCAAATGAAAAACTGAAAAAGAGAAAAAGGAACATACATTATCCCCCAGTGCATTCGGTAACATCTTGGGCATGTCAGCATGGTGCTTCATTCTACAGTCTAGGTCATGTTACAATTTGAAGTAGTAACCATGTCCTTTATTGATTCTAACCTTTGCCTCAAGAAGCAATTCTTGGGACCATTACTACTGAGAAATATTTGTACCAAAGACTGACTATAGAAAGCAGTTAAAAAGAAAAATTATTCATAGATTTGCAGGCATCAGTATGCTGTTGAATGGGGAAAAGTTTCAAAAGTCAGATGAAATTATTTGAATATTATCTTTCTCCTCTTTCTTCCTCAAACACAAACTTCAGAACTGACTACAAAACAACATTTCTACCGCTATCAGAATCACCCAGTCTTGTTATAAATGCAGATTCCCAAACCAGCCTCAGATCTATTAAATCATAATTAAATCATAATTAAATCATAATTAAATCATAAATCACTATAGCCCAGAAATTGATTTTTAAAGCAACCTCTTCAAGTAATTGAATCCCCAATTGCAAATGAAGCCTTATTAATCTAAGGGCAACCACTATGGATGCTAATAAAGTTCTGTTAAAACGCTGTCCTTACCTTCCCTCATAATAAACACTTAAAAAATATTTTTTAGGGAATGACACAATACTTACTTTATGGGAGAAGCAAGTTGAGGTGAATTCTCATAAACACTTATGTCAGATTTATACCTAATAAATATGTGATGGTTTTTCTAATGTGTTTTTTATAACCATTTATTATTTTCTACTCTTTATTTTAAAAGTGGAGTCTGTGGGTTAGCCCGACTGAAGCCATCCTCTTCAAAGCTTTCTAAGTGACAGATCAGATTACCTAACTCTCTTAACATGAAATGTGATTTTGCTACAGTCCATACTCAGACCCATCTCCCAATGTTTACCAAAAGAGCCTCTGCCACTCTAGCCAGACCCAAGGCCTACCAGTTCCCCAAACAGGCCAGCCATGCCCAAAGCCCTATAGTTCCTCCAAAAATCCAGGGTGTTTTTTTCTTAGAAAGCACATCACAACCACATCCGTACAAATACCTTATTTACTTCTGCTTCTGGCTTGAAGTTCCCTCCTATATCCTTGCCCTTTTCTTCTTGGGCCACTCCCACAGTAGCTAATTATTTATTTGTCTGTCTTCTTTAATGGGTTCTAATTGTCTTAATGCTTCTGCATCATTTAGCACAGTATCTGGCATGTAGCAGGTACTCAGCAATAATGAATAAATGAATGCTGAAATTTGTCTTCTCTCAGGGTACCCTCTAATCTAAGCTAAACATATTAGCTTCCAGAATCAAACCTGCTAAACAGAGGTCAAGAGTTTCATCAGTCTTGGCAAGTCCTTTTGGCAGGCGATGGGGTGGGTGTGGGGATTGGCTGGAGAACTCACCACCAGAAGCATGCAGCGGCTCTCTTTCATGGCACCACAGCATCCCAGGAAACCCAGAATCATGATGATAGAACCCACAGCAATCAAGATATTCACAGCAACATAAGGATGCATGCCACCGTCCTCACTGACAAACTGAAAATAAAAAAAAAAAAAGAAATCTGAAAATCCCTTTTCTTGATGTGTTTTAGTCAACAAAAATCCATTGGATGCCTACTATGTGCCTTAGGACCTTAAGATACTTCAATGATTGCCCCTAACCAGTTTGGCTCAGTGGATAGAGCGTGGACCTGCAGACTGAGGGTCCCGGGTCTGATTCCGGTCAAGGGCATATACCTTGGTTGTGGGCACATCCATAGTAGGGGGTGAGCAGGAGGCAGCTGATCAATGTTTCTCTTTCATCGATGTTTCTAACTCTCTATCCCTCTACCTTCCTCTCTGTAAAAAATCAACTATATATATATATGATACTTTAATGATCTACACCAGCAAAAGTATCTGCCCTCAAGGAGCTTACATTCTATTAAGGTTTTACTTATCTGGATAATGTTTCCAACATTATACTTTTCTAAGAGGAACTGGATATTGGATGGAGGCAATGTAAAAGGCTTTGAAACACCAATTATTTTAAATTTAGAAGGACATGTACTTTCACCTATGATGTGCTCTTTGGTTTGCATATTTTGTGTTTTATACATAAAAGTATCATTGTAAAGCATGTGTTTCTATGGCAATTAAATGAAATATAAAGCCCAAGTTTCTCAAACTACTGAGAGACTCAAGAATATGAATGATCTCAAAAATGAATTAATCTCTTATTGAGCTAAATAAGCCACATTCAAACGAGTGATTATTGTATGATTCCATTTATATGATGATCAAGAATGGGTAACTCTAAACTATGATGATAGAAATCAGAGCAGGGGATGACTGTTAGCTGTGTAGGAGAGAAAGGAGGAGCTGACTGCAAAGGGATGAGGGAGCTTTTAGGGGTTAATAAAATGTTTTATACATTGATTATAATAGTAATTTCACAGGTCTATACATTTGCCAAAACAAACAAAAAATTTAAACTAAGAAAAAAAAAATCTAGTACCTGATATTTCATATCAATTCTATCTCCTTGTTCCCAGAAGATATATAGTCCATAGAGTCTTCCAGAAAACTCTTCAATTTGCCTGACTGTTAAGTAACAGAATGTTAAGGGAAAAAATCTTAGGTCCCTATGTGGGGGGTTAGGCTATACAACTTGCATAATTTCATTCCTCTTCCCCACACATACTCTTCTTCATCACCTTCTTAACACCTAGCCTCAATCTACCACTTGCTAGGTGTACTGGTTAATAATGCAGATTTTTTCAATAGATGGAGTTACTCATATGTTGATATATATGCGATTTGATATGTATGTTATTTTGTTGTTTTAACAAGCTTCAAAACTTCATATGCCAAATTTTCTGAAGGTGTTAACATCATGGATATTATTACACTTAAAAATGTCAAATTTCATGCCCCCAAAAAGAGCACTTTAGTACAAAGAGGTACCCTAAAAGACATTCACCTAACCCTCTCTGACATCCTTCTTTTCTGTGTTTATGCTCAGGTTTCTCCTTCTAAAATTGCAACCACTGCTTTCCACTAGTAAAATTGGTTCTTTGCACAGTCTGGATTCTTTGTCACTGACTTTGAATAAATATAAATCAAGCCAATTTAACAGAAGTCAAGCTAGGTAATGTTGTCCTGAAAGATAATGACTTTTGTTCAGGGTTAGAACCTGGCAGAGGACAAGAAGCAAAATGTGACTAAAGATGCTGTCTAGCTCTATGAATTTATTCTTATCCTCAGGGACACTTCTTTAATACATTCAATCTGGGTAATTTCTTAATAGACTAAACACCAAATTTGTTTACCAGAAGCACTGGGGGGAAAGAAAATGTTCCCGTATCAACCAGGACTCTTACCTAATAATAAACAAACATGTAAATTGACCGCCCCCCTGCTATGCCTACCAGCCAATCAGGAGAGTATGCAAATTAACCCAACAAAGATGGCGGTTAATTTGCATACCTATGCGTAAAGCGGCAGAGCAAAGACTGAAGGCTCTGGCCGGAGCGAAGGCCTGGGTCCCGGGTGCCGGAGGAAAATTGGTGCCGGCAGACAGGGGAAGGGAAGGCCTATTGCACAAATCTCTTCATGCAATGGGCCTCTAGTAGTAAAATAAAATAAAATACAGGCTGTACACACATCTTAAAAGGCAAAGCACCCTCTAAATAGGTGGCTGTTATGAGTAATCTCTGTGCTTTAATTTGAGACTCAAAGTCAGACATCAGTTTCTAGAAAACAGAGAGTCTGTGCATCTTCAAATACCATCAACAGGCTCAAAGTTCAAAGCCCAAGGCCATTAGGAAGTTACAGTTACATTTATCAGCATAAAACAACACATGAAATCCTGATGGATTAGAATGTTATCAACTAGTTGCCACACCTGTCCCTCACCCAATTTCTTCAACAGGATAAGACACAGAATGAGGAAGCAGCTAATTCCCACTGTGATTCTCTGGTTTCTCTAATGGTAGAAATCATACTTTTAAATGAAAATAAATAAGAGAGAGAGAGAGGGGAAGGGAAGGAAGGACAGAAGGAAGAAAAGGAAGGAAGAAGGAAGGAAAGAAGGAAGGAAGGAAGGAAGGAAGGAAGGAAGGAAGGAAGGAAGGAAAGATAGAAGGGGAAAGCCATCCATTTAGAATAAGTGTTAATTTTCTTGTAATCTTTCTTTCAACTAGGCTATATCCAAAGGCATTTAGCTGCACCACAGTATAATAAGAATTCATGGAAAATGCTTTACCTGTACAGTACAGGGAGTATAGTCAATAGAATTGTAATAACTATGTATGGTGTCAAAGGAGACTTGACTTATTGGGGGATCACTTCATAAGTTATATAAATGTCTACCCACTATGATATACACCTAAAACTAACATAATATTGAATGTAAACGTCAATTGAAAAATTAAACAAAAAATTAATTAAAAAATGCATTACCTTAATTGCTAGCTTAATAATAACTTAATAATCATCAAATAAAAGTCAGCATTTCTCTTAGAGGAAACTTTTTGGTAAAGTTCCTTGGAAAGGCCCTAGCAATAGATAATGTGATCCTGAGTAGTGGCAAAAGCCCAGACAACAAAGAACAAGAAAACTGTCCCTAGGGCAGTAAGGATATTACTTTGAAGGGTGGAATGACTCTGAGAAGATAGGAGAGAAAAGGGAAGCAGGGAAGCAGGAAATAGTGCCAGGCATGATGTTGGGTCAAACTAATAGAACCCCCTCCTACACACACACACACACACACACACACACACACCCTCACCCTTTTCCCCAAACACACATTCTTTCCACATTTGTGACACGATGATGTGGAACAGAAACAGTGCATGTGGAATCCAAAAATTGGACACAGAGCTAAATATATGAACTAAACGTCCTCTAGACCTATGGAAATCTGGGTAAGAGCTTTGCCACAGGACAATGCACAGTGTGTGTTGAGGGGGAAGGGGCATGCTAATCCTATCTAGATAGCAAGGAGCTGGAAATCCCCAGCCCACTGCTGAGTTACCCCAGTGTGACCAGCCTCCTGCTGTTACCAGCAGTTACCCTCATTGCCGGTGGCCACAGGTAACTACCAACCATCTTTGTACACTGCTGCCTTTCAAACACAGATTCAAAGTCTCCAAGAGGACTTCTTACCTTCTTTCCTTTGGACCACCACCCCACCTTGGGATCAGCCAAATGACTGCCAATACCTTATACTACAAAAACCATTCCTGGTGGGGAGGAAAGGTGATCATTATCGTCCAGCTACACTTCAGGCTGGCCTTAAGCACATGAAGGAAAAGGCTCACTTCCACTCAGGCCCCTTCCCACCTCCACTTTCTTTGCGATCTTCCTATTTTTGGGATAAATAACACCTCCATTCTCCAGAAGAACTAATCCATGCCCAACACAGGCAGGCACATAGTGAGTACTTTTGATTAATTAAATTTAAGTATATTAAAAAATCACTTACCAATGTAAATAATTATATGAGTCAGTTAAGGAAAATGCTATAGAAACATTTATTATAGTCGTAACTCTCATCATTATAGGAAAAATGATCTACTTAGGGACAGGAGAGGTTTGTATTTATTTATTTACCTCTTGCTCAAATTTGCTTACTCGTAGCCATATTGCCAATGCCAGGATCAAGATGCCACATAGCTGCAGGAAAAGAAAAAAACATATATTAGAGTACAACTAAGATAAACTGCAACTCTTATCCCATATACCCCCAGGCATCTGGTTACAATACTCTGTCTGTTAATTATACCTTTAAACCCTAAAAGACATAAATAGGGCATATTCCCATGCAGATAACTGCTAAAATGATCCGTCATAATTGGTAAGTTTGATAAGAATAATGTTTCCCATCTACAGTCTAGTCATAGGTCTAGGACAAAAAATCATCTACAATGATTTTCCATTTTTCAACCCTAACTCGGTGGTTTTGCTAGATTTTAACCTACAAAAGATAAATCACAACAGTTTAAAGACAAAATATCCTTATTAGATAAGGATAAAATAGCCTTATTAGGCCCTAGATTGTCTCTGAGACGCTATCTTAGACCAAAATAAGGAGAATAACTGACTAATTACCAAACATTAGTCAAGATCCAAGAAACAAGAAGTTGGATAGATAAAGAAAAGTAGAACATTTGACAAAATTTGCAGTTACGCAACAAGCATTCATAGCACTTTCTGTACCCAAATAAACTCTTTTAAAATAAGCTTTTAGGTAGTAAAGATTACTCGGAGAAGAGCAACAATGAGGAACAGTACTTAAAGTCTTAAATTCCATAAATGACTTTACCAGATTATTTAATGTGGACCAAGGCCAAAACATAAAATGTGAAACACATTTTACTTTCGTGTAAGGAAAACCCCTGTCTTTAGGGTTGTTTTTTTTTCTTTTTTTAAGATATTTATGTTGTGGTCTCAAAAAAAAAAAAATCAAAGGTCTATTATTAGATATAGATGTTGAGAACAAACTAGGTAACATACCAAATACAGCAGGCCTTGGAGGACTTTCTAGACTATTCTGACCTTATGGTGCTCTGACACAGACCTGGCTGAGTCCCCCCAAAGCCCAGGGACCCTGCAGTATCATTGCTTTCATGCACAGTTGGACCACATGTCTGGAATCCCAAAGCAACAGTTTCATTTCCAATGGCTTTTCATTAAGTTTGCTATGGAAGTAGAGTCAAGGGCTTTGATGAGGAATAGCAAGTGCCATGAGTAGCTGAATAACCCGAAAATCGGTGTTCCCTAAAAGAACTAAAAAATCATCTAGGTTCAAACCCTTCTTTTCAGGTACAGAAACTAGAACCTTTAGCAGATCACAGTCATATCGTGAAAATCCAGCACTGCAGCTGATCCAGTCCTGCCTCTATTGCATGCTTCTACTCCTACAAAATAAGGAATGCAATGGAAAACCAACGCTCTTTATCCAGTCACCAAGTCAGCTGTACAATTTAATTATCTCATAGGCACACACTGTAAAATACAAACCATTCTTTGGAGCCCGAGAACCCTCCTTTTTTCCTCTCCCTGTCTAACCTAGTTCTAATTTCATTTGCAGATGAAGATAAAATACTCATGTTAGCAGTTCTTTGTTAATAAGTAAATCTGTAAGAATTTATGTCAAATAATAATGAGACTCTCTGGTATTATCTGTAATTTTATAGCAGTTGGATTTTTTTTATTTTCTTTGTTCACTGATATTTTCTTTCTTTTTCTTCTTTTGTACGAAGGCTTACATTGATTATCTTAATAGTTGCTCTGGCTTTTAGATTTAATTAAAAACAGTATTAATTATCTAAATAGATATGATTATCATCCTTATCTGATATTTATTGATGTCACTATTAAGAAAATTTTAAGAATTCTAAGAGACTAAGAGTATAAGATTGTTTAAACCCTTACTTTCTTTTTGTTTCTATGTGATCTGTAAGTTCACGTTTTCAATGTATTTAGACATCAAATTATTCCAAAATCTTTTGAAATCAATCATATTTCCCCCTCAAATGATAACTTTTAGTCTTCTCAACCACTGGCAATTACCTGTTACATTAACATTTAAAGGAAAGATATGAAAACAATGAGATGCCACTACACACCTATTAGAATGGCCAGAATCAGAACACTGACCATCCCAAAAGCTGTTAAGGATGCGGAGTGACAGGATTTCTCATTCATTGCTGATGGGAAGCAAAGTGGTACAGCTATCTTGGAAGACAATCTGGCAATTTCTCACAAGCTACATATACTCTTACCATGTGATCCAGCAATAATGTTTTTTGGTATTTATCCAAAGGAGTTGAAAAACCTGCTCAAGGATATTTATAGCAGCTTTATTCATAATTGCTAAAACTTGAAAGCCACCAAGATGTTCTTCTTTATGTACATCCAGGCAATGGAATATTACTCAGAGCTAAAAAGAAATGAGCACCCTAGCTGGTTTGGCTCAGTGGAATAGAGCACCGGCCTGCGGACTGAAGGGTCTCGGGTTCGATTCCAGTCAAGGGCACATGCCTGGGTTGCTGGCTCTATCCCCATTAGAGGGCATGCAGGAGGCAGCTGATCAATGATTCTCTTTCCCCCTCCCTTCCTCTCTGAAATCAATAAAAAAATATTTAAAAAAATAAAAAATAAAAATAAAAATAAATGAGCTGTCAAGCCATGAAAGAATATAGAGAAAGCTTAAATGCATATTACTAGGTGAAAAAAGCCAATCTGAAAATGCTACATACAGCATGATACCAACTATATGACATTTGGAAAAAGGCAAAACTATGGGGTAAGTAAAAAGATCAGGGATTGCCCTGGCAGTGTTGCCCAAGGTTAGAGCATCAACAGAATACTGAGGTTAGATTCCAGGTCAAGGGCACATATCTGGGTTGCAGTGGTGGGTGCATGTCTGCTGTGTGTGTGTGTGTGTGTCTCCCTCATACCGATATTTCTCTCTCTCTCTCTCTCTCCCTTCTTCCTTCCCTTCTTGTCCACTCTCTCTAAAAATCAATGGGAAAAAATATCCTCAGGTAGGGATTAACAACAACAACAACAAAAATCAGGGATTGCTGGAGGGAGGATGAAATGAATGGGCAGAGCACAGAAGATTTTAGGCCTGTGAATCAATACTCTGTATAATAATAGAATGGATATATGTCAATGTCATTATACATGTGTTCAAACTCCTATACAAGACTAAGAGTGACCCCTAATATAAACTATGGTCTTTGGACAATTATAATGTGTCAATGTTGGTTCAACAATTGTAAACAAATGTACCACTGTAGCAATATCAATAATGGGGGAAGCTATGCATGTGTGGGGATCAGGAGTACATGGGAAATCTCTGTATTTTCTTCATTTTGCTGTGAACTTAAAACTGCTCTAACAAATTACAGTCTTTTTAAAAATAAAAATAAAGAGTATTCAATTATTTCAGAAGTCAAGAATATTTTGCCCAACTTCAATCTTCCCAATTAGATCAATATTCTTGAAGTTGGCCAAACTATCATTTCCATCACTTCTTCAAACATTATCATTAAAAACAAGAAATAAACGCTCAAAATATATCATCCTCATCTTATTGAAGAAATTCATATGTAAAAATCAGAGTCTTAATAACATGAAATCATTTATAAATCTGTTAAATGACTTTAAAAGTAAATTGATTTTCTGTCGAGAACAATCTGTGTCAGGATTGATACCAGCCTAATTTATCCCAATTGTTTTTAGATTGGTAAGAATAGTTCTTGGAGCTCTTTTCCAGTTTGTATTTGAAGGTTTGTTCCCAATCCAATAAATCAAAGAGGTATATACAAATTGTCCCTCACGCGTAACGCCGTCACAAGATGGCTGAGCCCACAGCAGAGGCGGGGTTCCTGTAACCAGCCATAACGAGCGATCAGCATGGACCTGAGGCTGCACCCCCTGCCCAGTGAGGCTTGACAGGGGACCTCAGGCCACGCCCCCGGCCCTGGCGCCAGGCCGAGGGACCTGAGGCTGCGCCCCCTCTTCGGCAGGGTTTGACAGGGGATCTGAGGCTGAGCCCCCCACCCGGCAGGGCTTGATAGGGGACCTAAGGCTGAGCCCCCACCCGGTGGGGCTTGACAGGGAACCTGAGGATGCACCTCCTGTCCAACGCCGAGCCAGGGGATCTGAGGCTGTGCCCCTCGCCTGGTGGGGCTTGACAGGGGTGGGGCCAGCCAGGTCTGGATCTCACCTATTGGGGGTGGGTCTGGCCGGGTCTGGGTCTCCTGCAATTTTGAGGAGTGTGCAGGTCGGTAGGAGCTTGACTCTGGGTCCCGCAGTGCACCCCAAACTCTGACAGGAGGAAGATTTTCATATACATTTTACTAATTTTCTTTCATCTCTGACACTTCTATTATAGAGAAAGGGCAAATAGCAGTATTAAAATATTTCCTCTAATTAATTCCCTTTTAATGTGCATGAATTCAATGTGCACCGGGCCACGAGTCTTTTTATAATGTTTTAAATAATTGGGAATATAAATTAAGAAAAACATGTCTAGCTCTGTCCTTTCTGTTGATAAGACTATAAAAGGAAATGGGTTATGTGGGGCCCCCAGGTTAGCTGAACTACAGAACTGACTAGGTTTACTTCCACTCCCATCCCAACCCCCAATGAGTTATTGCAGTTGTCACTCGGCTCTCATGGGACATCTTTCTTTCCTTTTCAAAATATTTTTTATGAATTTTTTTTTTTCCTCTAGAGAGAGGAAGAGAGAAAGAGAGAAAGAGAGAAATATTGATGCAAAAGAGAAACATCAATCCCCTGCCTCCCACAATTACCCCGACCAGGGATCAAACTTGCAACTTGCGTATGTGCCCTGTTTGGAAATCACACCGGGCCGGTACATAGGCCAATGCTCAACCAACTGAGCCACACTGGCCAGGGCAGGACATCTTTCTTTTTATGGAATTAGGATGCTGTTGGTCTGAGCCAGCATGCTAAGAAATGAGGTAATTTTGGTTTGCTTATGAGCATGCTGTGGACAAAATTATATTGGGATGTTGGAAGTCCTAACTCTGTACACATGGAGGGAGGAGAGGCCATATAAGAACACAAAAGAAGGCAGCCATTTGCAAGCTGGGAAGAGAGGCCTCAGCAGAAACCAAATTAGATCTTAAACATGATCTTAGACTTCCAGCCTCCAGGACTGTGAGAAAAAAAAAAAATCTGTTGTTTAACCTACTAACTCTACACTGTCTTGTTATGGCAGCCCAAGCCCACTAATACAGGGCAGGAAGAAAATGGGAAGCCACATCCAGAGCACAAACAAATGGTATAGAACAAGCCCCTTTGTCCTCTTCTCAGATAATGTGTCCTCCAACCGTCCTTACTCACTCTCTCTCAATCCTATCTTTTTATTTGGGTGATTATCAAAGTGTTTTTAAAGAATGTCAGAAATGGAAGAAGGGCATGGTGCTGTGCTAAGAGGAAGAGTATATTATGAGCTATGTCATTATTGATCCAAAATAGACACTTTTAAGATAAACTTAAGGGACATCTTATGCTGCTCCTGAGAGGTCACAAATGAATAAGAAAATATCCGAATGGATACTGTGGAGAACCACAAGGTTTGTTTATACAATAACCCAGAGCACAAGAGATCATGAGTACAGTCCTAACATTTTGGGACAGTGCTACTGTTGTTCATTTTCAAGCTTCCTCTTTTATTAACCATGACTCAAACATCTAGTTCAATTGCATTGTAGTAAGATAATATAGCCTGTGAAATCATTGCTCATGAGAATTTTTATAATTGATTGTTGATATAATTGATATAATCAATCGTTGTTCTGTTCTCTGTTCTCTCACTCTCTCATCTCCTTTCCCATCATTTATCTCTTTTTGATTCTCCTCTGGCAGAGCTTCTCAATTTGGGACTCTATTTTACCGTCTCCATGTAATGTGATTGATTTCTGGAGTGGATTTTAATTCTATCATTGTGTTTCTGGCTTACTCAAAGTACTTCTTTATTTTATCCATTTTCCTGTTCTTCTCATCCTATGGTTTCCCAGTTAACTTTATCTTCTCTTATGACCTCCAGCCACCATTTAATGGGGGGTTATTTCTTGCATTGCATGTGGATACCAATTTCCTGATACTTTTTCAGGATGCTGGAGTGTTTTTTTCAGGGGTGTGCACTTGTCCTCTAAGGCTTCAGAGTGACATTCCCTTTCACTGGTTCAATGGGTTTTTGTTTTTTTTAATCAGCACTTATATTGATTTTCCCTTATTCACTATTTTTTTTATTTTAAAAAATTGTTTTTATTGATTTTAGAGAGGAAGGGAGAGTGAGAGAGACAGAAACATCAATGATGAGAGGGAATCATTGATTGGCTGCCTCCTGCATGCCCTCCACTAGGGACTGAGCACGCATGCACCCCCGGCATGTACCCTGTCCAGAAATCAAACCATGACCTCCTGGTTCCTAGGTCAACACTCAACCACTGAGCCATGTTGGCCAGCCCTTATTCATTCTTTATTGAACCTGTTCTAATTTCTTATTAATTTGCCTCACTCTCTAACAACAGGGGAGATGTTAATTCTCAGATCTGCTGTTGGAGGGAGATTGCTGTGCATTTTCTCTGCAGGTATGGCCTAATGCCATTCTGACTTACTACAGAGATGGCCCCAGCTGTCAGATAATATTGAATTTTCTGATGCTCTAAACCAAGGGAGTAAATTAAAACCTTCAATTCGTAGCAGGCTCTACTACTGCGAGTGATATTTTGGGTTTTCTATCTTCCCTATTAATATGTGTGAAATACACAGTGGCATGTCTCTATGGTTGCATTCGTGTGCATTTCCTAAATCTCTGATGTAAGCCAAGAACCCCGTATAACTACTGCAAATTCTAACTTTAAATATCTCTAAGCTTAAGGGAAAGAAATCAACCACATCTCCTTCTGACACAAATAGGTCCTGGGTAAGCATACTTCAGGTTATCTTTCCTGAACTGAAGCTTAAAATCACTAAAATTCACACAACTTCAAAATATATAAAGGGAGATGAATGTTCAGCATTTGGTTGGCATCCTGCCCCAGGCCCCCATCCCTCGCTTCCGGCTCTGTCTTAAATTTTGAGGGGCATAACGGAATGGGTAGGGATAGCTCAGCTTGCAAGCCAGATCTGTTTACAATTTGTTCTCATTCCTGGCAAATAGCTCCCTCTTGATCACTCCTGCAGAAGGGTTTGTGCAGACCCTGGAAACAGGGCCATTTGGGGAGGGAAATTGTGGTCTTGGGTGCGCAAAGTAGAGGTTGAATTTAGGGTAAGCATATTCTTCTAGCTATAAGATTATACAGATTTCTTGCACTATGAGGCTAGAGGAGAATCAGAGGAGGACTAAAATTATATTTAAAGATCATCATGTATAAAATACTATCACACCAGATTCCAATACTTTTAAATTAAAAAGCAGTATGATGGTTGGACTTGGGGAAAATACCATTAACTGAACTATAATTGCCTTTCAATCCTTGGTTATAGGCATTCATAAAACATCTCAGTGAATCCTGAAAAAGAAAATTATCACGCTCATTTTACAAGTGCAGAGACCAGGGCACAGAAAAGTCAGGGAACACATTCCAGGCCACAAAGCGATATGGGTGAATTCAGGAGTTGAATCTGTCTGTCTATTTACAAAACATGCTTTCTTTCCATTCCCTTAATTTATGATAGAAGAATTTCTGCCTTATGACATCTTACTCCTCTTCTGTTTGAAAATCCAGCACTGTAATGTATTCATCACTGCGCACAATGGTTTTATATTTTTGTCTCATAGAAATGCCTATATACCTGACATCTTACTCCTCTTCTGTTTGAAAATCCAACACTGTAATGTATTCATCACTGTGCACAATGGTTTTATATTTTTGCCTCATAGAAATGCCTATATATCCCAGTCAGGACATGTACCTGGATTGTGGGCTCGATCCTCAGTAGGGAGTGTGCAGGAGGCAGCTGATGAATAAGTCTCTTTCATCATTGATGTTTCTCTCTCTATCCCTCTCCCTTCCTCTCTGAAATCAATAAAAATATATCTTTTTAAAATGCCTATACAATGTTGGCTGAAGTGTTTGTTTTTTTAAACATTTATTTAGTGTTATTCTGAGTTCTTTATAGAAATTAAATCACTTAATCTCACAACAACCCCATGAGGTAGATACCACTACTACCCCCATATTACAGATGAGGAACAGTGAGGCACAGACAAGTTAACTAACTTCCCCGTCACACAGCTGGTGAGGAAGCAGCTGAGGTTAGCCTGAGCTCTCAACCACTGAGCTCCAGTGCCTTTTGTCACTGTAACAG